TATAAAGTGTAGTATTACAATATTATAAATATGTTATTGTTTTGGATGGTGTGGGTTTTTTGTATTGTTTTATTTTAATATAGCCTAAATATCTCCTAACAGATATTTCACAGGAAGCCCCACATAACGTCTTTCCCTCAGTGGCATAGTTCAGGACAAATACCTTTGCACTAACCAAAAATAGACAAGGTTTGCTACTGGAACACTTCGTAGAAGTATAAAAGCCAAGAGCTGAAGTTCAAATAAATTGGCGAAAAGGAATAAGAGATATTAAATGACAAGTGATGTGTGGTTTATTAGTGGATATGAGCTACAAAAGAATTTAAAGCTTTAAAGTTAATATGAAAAGTACAGTAAAACTGTTATTTATTTTTTTGTCTTATTTTACATTTTTCTGTCAAGTTCGAAAGCTACTCTTCCAAAAATTACAGTGGAAAAGTGAAAAATCTTGAAAAATCCGCTGTGTTGAATGACGTCACTGGTTCCCAGCCGCGCCATTTGCGTATGTATTCCATAATATTACATCGTAACTTTTCAAAATGTTGCAACAAAACGGAACGCTAAGTGTTTGGAAGTTCCAACCACCTCCCTTGTACCATGGTGGAGGTATAAGTTTACATGTGACTCTGAGCGTTAATTGGTCCGATATAATCCAAATTTGTGAAAAAATAAAAAAATTAAAAAATATTCATTATTCAATTATGTCAAGTCTTTGCTCTTTGGAAAACACCGGCTCTTTATCCACTTGGTGTGTTTGTTATAAAAAATAATGCCATGGAAACTAATGCGGAACTACGTTACGGACGCTCGATAATAACGATTCTTCTTCGTAGCAATATTTCAGGATGTTACACAACTCTTTTTCTACGCTGAGGGGGAAGGGGGTAAGATACGTTGCGTGACTTCCCGTAGAGTTACGTGACATCCTGTAGAATGGCTGCTGCGGAGACTAAGCGCTGACTGGCTAAACAGTCTGTGAAACCATTACACTGCTGGAGGATGGTGTGGGTGATACGGCCGGCATCGAAGATACAACTTGTGAACTTGAAGGTGATACGGCCGGCATCGACGATACAACTTGTGAACTTGAAGGCGATACGGTCATCACCGGACTGGAGGAAGGCGACGGAATAGGACTCATGGGTGGGGCTGGAGTGGGTGGCTTGAAAATCTCTCCTGTTAGTGATATGATAAATGGTACAACTCTGTTTATAGCGCGTCCTTGCTTAAACAAAGAACTAACCGTTTTACTTATACTTCGATCTAGAGAACTATGGACTTCCTCCGAAAAAGATTAGAATAATTGGTATGAAAATGTATCAGTTTAGTTTAGGATCGAATAATCAGGGACAAAAACCATCATTTATCGCCTGTAGGACTGTTTTTTTTCTTTTTCCGAGGGGGGGGTAGTATGGTTTTTAGGGGGAACTGAGAGAAGGATCAGTCGTCTCCATTACAATTTAAAGGAAGGACTATAGAAAATTGACGGCTAATGAAGGG